TGTACTTGGCCTCTCTGTAGCAGTCCCTGTCTCCGCTTCTGAACGCCTTAGCAGGTCTTAATCAAGTAAGAAGTTCCACGAGGATTAATAGGGCAAGGAGAAGCCAAGTGCTTATAAAAAAATGCACTTGAATAACGGATGAACTGCAAGTATTAGCACCTCTATAAAAGCAGAGGTTTTGACAGTTTGCAGGCTTGGGGCAATCAGGTGTGTGTTTGCGCAATGCCAAGGAGGAAATCAGCAATAATATCTGAGAAAAAGTTGTTGCTACTCATCAGTCTGGGAAAGAGTTTTAAGGTCATTTCCAAGTCATCATCTGAAGTCCATCATTCAGAAGTGAGAAAGTATATTTACAAGTGGAAAACATTCAAGGGACTTGCTAATCTTCCCAGGCATGGATGTCCCAGCATATTTACCACAAGGTGCAATGCTTAAAAAAAACTACAGAGAACCCAAGAGCAGCATCTCAGACTCTTTCACGGTAGCACAAGGCTTTTACAAGGCACTGCTGTCTGAACATGGGCAAAAAAATCCATACTCCTCAATCAATTTGAGCCACAGACCCAATTTTGGGTTGGGTTTTTTTATTTATTTATTTTTTTACAAAACAAGTCCATAAATCTTGTTCAATAAAGGGTTTGTACCAAAGTACTCTTAACTTAAATGTGAGGCCATCTGTCTGGTAGCTGAAGCTTGGCAAAAACTGGGTCATGCAACAGAACAACGATCCAGAGCACAGCAGAAACTTTACAATAGAGTGATGGAAAAAGTCCCAGTCAAAGTCCAGACATCAAAATCATAGAAATGCTGTGGTGGGACTTTAAGAGAGCTGTGAAAAAACAAATGACTTCAAACCTCAATGAACTAAAGAAGAGTGGGCCAAAATGCTGTAATCTGCAATACCAGGCATTGGCCAGTGCGCCGGTCTGTCGGCCAGTGCCTGGTATGCCAGATTACCAGTCCAGCCCTGCTCAAAACTACAACTGGCAACCTCATGGTGGCAATAGAGAAGAAGCCACCAAAGCTTCCTGAGAATCAGGAAGTACCTGACAGCTTCGGTGCTCAGGAAGCTTTATCGAGTAGCTACTCAGATATTTAATTGTCAGCTTAAGTTGGGTGGGGAGAAAACATCCAAAAATACTTTAGCCTATCGTGTATTGTAATCACAAATAAACTAAGTAAATGACACAGTTTTAATGTAAGCAACATAGTGAATTTACTACAGGGCATATTTGTCAGTCAAACAAGTGAATTAAGTGAACTCAGTGTGTCTTGAATATATATTTACCAGTTATTTATGTATTAAAGTCACATTATGTTTACTTCTTTCAATCATTTTAGAATGACAGCTATGCATGTCATTGGGTTTACACTTTTTTTCCTCTTAAAACTACATACTTTATAAAATTTTTACCAATTCAGTTGCATAATAGGCCCAATGAAGGTGTTGCTTTTACTTTTTAAAATTATTTTCTGTTCTGACCAGAGTAGATTAGGAGCCGGTCTTCTAAATGCTGCAATGTTTTCTGTCTGCTTGCAGTCAGAGAGATGATCCTGCACCCGTATGAGACACAGTCGGACAGCTTCTACTTTGTGGACAATAAGTTGGTGATGCACAACAAGGCAGACTACTCGTACAATGGCGGGACGTAGAGGTGGCACGCTAACAGGAGAGCAAGCGGAGTTATGGACTAAACCCGAGGGACGATCAAAATACACGTGTGGGGTTAACGTCCTGTTGATCCTGCAGTCTCTCTCCCTGTATCTCTTTCTCTCCCTCTTTGTTTTTCCTTCAGAGAGGATGCAGTCAAGAAAAGGCCCACACAGATGTGACACTTATAATCTGTGAGTGTGTGTGTGTGTGTGTGTGTAAGCACATCTGGGTTTATCAAAGCCTAACAGGAAACACACACACACACACACACACACACTGATGCACACAGCTCAGTGTGGCGTCGCTGTAACAAAGTGTGTTTGTAACATGATAAACTTGCAAGTAAGCAACTTTTTAGGAATTATCAAATGGTTTTTGCTCTCTAGCCACGTCATGAAGTGAAAAAAGAAAAAAATCTTTAATTATTGGTAGAAATTATTTACATTTTAGGGTTTAGAAACGCGTCTGAAAACGTGTTTTTAGGACTTAAAAACAGTCTTTTGGAAATCTGTTCTCAGATTCAGTGAGTCTGTGTGTTTTGTATGCGTGTGTGTGTTTGTATGTGCGTGTGTCTACCCTTGCTTTTAGTGTCTTTTGTATGATCGTCTGTGTGTATAAGTTTGATGCATGATTGATTTAAATGTCAATAACATGAACATCTGGTTGGCAAAGTTCAAATAGATTTCCAAACCCGTTTAGTGCATATTCTACAAAGTAGGCAGTAAGTAGTTATTTTGTATTTATAATTCCCTCCCCCTGTCCCTTTATTCCTTTTAGTTTTAGTAGGACTTGTGTTTATTATATCTGCTCAAAGCGCAACATTTTACAACAATCAGGAAACTTACAAAGACAAGCTGAGCTGATATGAAATGTACTTTGTCATCTGTGCAAATTCAACTGTACTTCCAGCCCCATGTTTCGTTGTTTAAGTGATAAAGAAAACTTTAGAGAGGTGCAAATTATGTGTTTCAGAAGTTTCAAAAGAGACGAAAAGGAAAACATGGGTTAGCAAATGTTCATGTTCACCCTGAAATGTTCTGCAAAAAAAGAAAGGATAAGGAATGTAGCAGCAGTTACTTAAAGAACAGGTCACCCTTAAATCTCTTCCATTCTGTTGTTTCTCGTCATGTCTTGTGTGATGCGGATATTTTCTCTTTCTCAGGTTTTTTTTCCCTGTAATATCTTATTTTCTGTCAAATTGTTTTCATTCAGAGACATTCCAGCGATTTAGACCAGAGTATGGTGATCCGAACACAGGATTGCTCCATACTGTAATATGCTCACTGTGCTTTTTGTCTGTTTGTGCTGAGACTCAAGAGCAACCACATAGGTTCCTGCATTTCTTTCCCTCATCACACACTCTAATTTGATGCACTAGAGATTGATATTAGTTTATGTGACTGATGATTTTAATGAGTCTAAATTTAAAATGCAGTTAATTTAGACAGATACTGCATCGTATTTGCAAACACTCACAAATCTATGAATAACAGGCCAGCTGAATCAAAGTTACTCAAATGTACCTGCTGGGTGTTCAGATTAACAGAGGAAATTGTGGACATGGATTGATTCAAACTGGCACTGCTTTGTTGATTTCATCCTGCACAACAGACAAAGTACGAAACATTTATAATAGTTGTGAAATGAACAGGAGGGGACTCAGATTTGACTTAATCAGAGATTAAGCCAATTAACATGAATGTTATTTTAAAAAAAAAAAGTAATACAGATATGTAGAACAGATTTATATATGACTGTGACTCGTGCAAATTATTTTGAACTCGGGAAGTTTTTGACAATACAAATGTTGGTGTGACTGAAAAAAGTAAAAATAAAAGATTTTGAAATATCACTGTCTTCGCTGCTATTTGTGTGGGTGTGCCTGTCTATCTGTTGAGTAAATGAAGGTGACACTTTGTTGAAGTAGTGCTTTATTTCTACAGAATAGAAGTGGGTGGGTCAGAAATCTTGTTCAGTTTGGAAAAGTACACATTTCTCTGCTGGGATGTTCTGCCTCAACATCTTCATTTTTTCACATTCTCTTGTATAAAACAAAAAACAAGGAGAGAACATGGACACTAACCTCTGCGACCGGTACATCCTGTTGGCAGCCTCTTATCTCTGTTACCCAACCAACCAACGTTTTCATCTGTAATGACTGGGCACAGCCACCTTCCTGCCATTTATTTGTGCGCTTTCTTGGAGTGAATCTTTCAAAGGGAAAGCTTTTAAAAATCCTATTTGCTTTAATTAATCCTTCTGTTTAGTGTTAAGGTGAATACAGGATACAGTTAGCTTAGAGAGTAGAAACAGAGGGAAACAGAGCCTGGCTCCATTTAAAATGTAAGGGTTAGCCTACCAGACCCTATAAAGCTCACTTATTAATATACTACAGCAGGGGTTGGCAACCCTGGGCACGCGTGCCACAGCTGGCACACGAAGGGTTAACTGATGGCATGACCATAGCGATTTTTCGTTTTTATGGCCCAATGGGGGGTTTTTTTGTAACGGTATAAACAATGAAAGTGGTAGATTGTTGGCTATGGCAGAGCTTCCACAGAGGCCAGCGGGTGGATGAGGGAAAGGGGAGGCAGGAGGAGAGGAGACCCGAGGCGGGGTCAGATATAAACCAAGTTTAGGTGAAGTTTATTTTCGTTGTACTAACTTTTTACAGTCAGTTTAAATAACTTGTAGCTAGCATGATGGAGTTTCTATACAGCTGGGTGGGTGCTATGATGTTACTGATAGTGAACTTTATTTTATTCATAAGGTTAGTTAGTAGAGTTGCCAACCGTCCCGTAAAAAAATGGAATAGTCCCGTATTCAGAGAAAATATTACGCGTTTTGTGTTGAGGTGAAAAGGAACAGTTTGTCCCGGACTTCAGCTAGAATGAAAAAAGCTGGATTTATTCTGTGTCTTTACGCTGTCAGCTGCCTCTTCTTCTCTCATTCTCTCGCCTCTCTCTCCTGTTGCTACTTCAATCATGAAACTGATCAATGATCAGCTGATCGGCTTTTCTGACGCAAGTTCTATTTCTCTTGTTTGTTTATTGCCCACTTTGCGCCAGAAAAAGGATGTCGCACTAAACAACAGCAGCACGTTTAAGCTTGATCAGCTGTTGTTAGAATTTATTTAATATTACTTCCTAGTATCAGCTGATGTTTGCTTGAGCCACAGCTGTAAAAGCTGCTGGTCATGATGTCGGTTTGGATATGTGGTGAGAGGGAAACATGAAGATGAAACCAGGAGATGTCCTTACTGAATCATCAGAGCTGAACAGGTGATGGAGAAACAGGTTTACCTTTTAGGTGACATGAATGAGTTGAAGGGAAGTTATGAAATGTTTC